CTACAGAGAAAGCAGCTCATTTACTCCTCTTGGGCACTATTCTGTTCCCATTTCACAGATAAGGAAAGAAGGTTGTAGATGTCATACCTGGGACAGATTGATGTGACCACATTACTCAGTTTCTTGATCCCTCCACTATACCACAAACACACAGAGCAGTGAAGGGGAATAAAACATTTAGAGATGTGTGGACTATCTTTACACAGTGTATATGGACCATTGGACAGAGCAAATAATGAGGCCACATGAATGGGAAGGGGCCAATTTTTGAAGGAGTTTGACTGTCATGCCAATCTAAATGTTCAGTTCTCCAAATGGCTTGATTGGGATTGCATATTAGTACCATGCCCTGGACATAAAATAGAAAGGGGAAAAGCATGGGAGAAGCCTAAAAGATAGATGAATATGTAAAAGCACAGACCAAACACCAGGTCTGAACAGGACAGAGAGAATAAAATTGCAGAGCAATGGGAAGACTCCAGAAATCTTCCTAAGACTGAATTGATGCAGTATGGTGAAGGACTAGGTCTGGGGCAGGAATGGGACAAACGGTAAAGGACAAGAGCTCAAGTTGCTAAGTTCATATCATCATCCATTCAATTTCCCATCTTTCTAGATAAACACATAAAGACAAGTGACTGGAGACATGATAACAGTAGCTCAGTCACGCATCTATTACATTATCATCTCACTGCTTCCTAAGCAGCCTGGCAAAACCATAATCTTTCCCAAGGCAGAAATGACTCACAAATATCTTGTGTCCACATGTCCATTCTGCATCTACTTCCATATTAGGTGCAAAATGTAATGTAACTTATCAGATAGTTGTTAACTATCAAAAGTATACAAGTCACTGCGAGGAAAAAAAAAAAACGCTTAGCAAAAACTGAAATCTTAAAAGGTAATAATGAACCCTTTTCACTAAATAAAAATGTAAAGCATTTGCATTAAGGAAGATGAGTGCCCAATACAAGTTTAAAAGTTTAACTTCGCCAATAATCAAATAACTGCAAATTAAAACAGATAATGATCTTGTCTACCAAGTTTCAATGACTCTTTAACATCTGTGAGATTTTCCCTGTGCTTTTTCTTTGATGGGGCAGCTCATAGCAGAAGATCCAGTGAGGACTCTGGGGCTGTCCAGAGCCATCACAGCCTGTTGATGGAAACAGGCTGGCCTTTGATTTGATAGCTTATTAAGTTATAGAGCTAATCAAAGAGCAAGCTGCCTAACCAGGAACACAGAAAGAAATAAACTCACTAAGACTGGCAGGTTTTTTTGATTTTGCATTCTGAGTATAACTAATTAACAAGTATTCTCACTGAACTCCCAGAGCAAACTCAATAAGGAATGCATATTTATCCCCATTTTTCACACAGGGGCAGCAAAATAAAGAAACTTGTTTGCAGTTCTACAACTATCTAGTGGTATACTGAAAATCTATATATTTCTGACTTGAAATCTCATCCTATATGCATTGAGTACAAGTGACCATGAGATGATCTTCACTCGAAGAACCAGCCCCATGCATGCCCAGAGTGGGGCTTTAGGACGCCTGGAGGAAAGAGCACCCTCTCCCCGCAAAAGACCAACATTAGCTGACATGGCTTCTTGTAGTGTGTCAGTTTCCCATTTTTAAGGTCACTGTTACATACACAATAATGATACTTTACAACTCTGTATTTCAGTCTTCTCATACATCCAAACAGATAGGAAAATCTACTTCAAGATCTGTTGAAATTAAAGTATAAACCCACACATTAAGCTGGCACTACATCAAAAGTTATCTTTCAAAATGCAAAGCCTATCACAGTAAATCCCACCCCAGTGTTCACGTCCCAATTCCGATTCAATCAGCAGCAATCCTGTTTTGAATACCCAATGACAAGGTTCACTCTCTCTCCCTCTGTGTTTCTATTATGTCTTCCTCATACTTATGCTACTTTTTTCTTTGCATCACAACATAAACATTCATTTACTGTTTCATCTCCCATACTATATTGTAAACCACTTGAGAATGAGGCCAAAGGTTTTTATACACTTTGATGTGAGAGCAACCAGATTAGGCCTTCCCAATATAGTACACCTCTGCATACTGATGACTTAAAGGTGCAGGCAACCCAGAAGACTACACGCAAAAAGAGCTCGATCACTTTCTCCCTTTCTCTCTCTCTTTCTCTCTTACTCTCTTACTCTCTCGTTCTCCCACTCTCTCACTCTCTGGCACTCTCCTTCTCCCTCCCTTAATCTCTCCCCTTCCTTCCTTCCTTCCTCCCTAAATGTAGAAGTTCTCCTACACCAAGAAGAAAACATGTTTTTAACCAAAGTTGGGGAGTCAACACCAAACTAAATTAGTACAAACCTACAGAAAAATCCTTATTTCTCATTCATTTCCCCTATATAGTTTTCAGTCGGTTTCCCTCAATTTACTGCCCCTATTCTAAACTTGTTTTTGTTTTTTCTTTATCATATATCTCCATCCTTTATCAACGTTTGCTAAAGTAGTATATAAGCTCTCAGGTCTACCCCTTTAAGTCTTCCTCTTACACATACAAAATCCTCTGTGTAAACACAAAAACACTGACATCAAACAAAATTTGTATTATTCTCTCCTGTTTATCTGCCTTTTGTTAGTTTAATCACGTGGCCAAAGCACCAACAGTAAGAGAGCAGAGAAAAATCCTTTCCCAACACATAACAACTGTCCAGGGTCAGCTTACACAGAAAATATTTCACTTAAAATAAAGTAAATTGTGTTACTCTCATAACAATTCTGTAAAGCAATTATTATGCCTATATGCATACTACAATTTAGGAAAACCAAAGCTCCAAGTTGTAGTTACTATTTGAAACCTTAGGTAAGAGGCCAAGCTTGCACTGAACCCAGGTCTTCGGAGAGCAACTTCTAGTCTCCAATCTAGTATGTCCAGATCATCAGAGACAATGAAAGAAGTCATCCCAGACCATCTGGATCATCACTACAGAAAGAGGCCATCATGCTCAAAAGTGGAAAACAGTATGAGGACAACTTAGTAACTCAGCATCTGGAGAAGTACAGAGAAGAGCTTTAAAGTTGGTAAATCTGGGTCTGAACTGAGACTCACTCTGCCCTTACGCCTGTGTGCTCCTGGACAAGTCTCTTAAGCTCAGGAAACTCAGTCTGTTCATATAAAAGTGGGGCTCACAGCAGTGATACTTAACTTTCAGAGTTTCACGTAAGAGTGACATGAAGCAACCTGAGGCTATAATAAGAATTCAGTAAACAGCAATTATTTGTTGGGGAAAAATATCATATATTAAATGCTTATGTCACAGTCTTTTCCTTACCCTGTCTTATTTCATCCCCACACAATCTCATCCGATCCTACGGTCAGAAAACTAGGGTTCAGGACACTTAACTAACTTGTTCAAGGTCACACAGGTAGCAATGGGCAGAGCCACAGTTTGAACTAATGACTTCTCAAGTGTAAAACCTTTGCTCTTTGCCACATACTTGTCTGCTTCCCAGGTGGAGAACAGTCTGCCTAAGGCCACCGTAAGATACTTAAAGTGGCTGATGGATCCAACTCATCTAGAACTTAGGATGTGCACTAAAGATGTTTGGAATATGTGCAGCTTGAGAGTGGGACAAACCACATGGGAAGAAGACACACAGCAGTAAATGACATGCTCCTCAATTTCCCTTTGGGCTAACAACATGAAAAACGGTAGTGATGACTCATGACATATTTCAGTCCTTGTGCTAAGAGTCTAGCAGTTGGAAATTCTGTCTTGTAAGCTCAATGCACTTTTCTTCTCATAATTTTACTACCATTTGCTAAGTCCCGGAAAGCATTCTGAAACAAACCGAACAAGTTCAGAGAAGTCACAGGAAATGTCTGATCTCTAATACTTCAGAAAAGGGAAACAGATTACCCTACATTAGCCTCTTATTTCCATCATTAACACCAAGGCATGTTGGAAGACGATTCTGGCAAGTAGAACTCAGGACTTTCAGGTTACTATGGTGGATGACTTGGCATCATCCCTCAGAGAAACAAACACTGCTTTGAAAGGAAACAGCAAACTGTTGCAGGAATTCTCCTCTGGGGCACACATATCCCACAGCCTGGAACAAACAGGCCTTGGCACCTTCCAGTCCAGGAAGCCTTCACACTATGGCTATGAATGTTCCTGATGCATGCTGTCAGGTGAGACACTTAGAGCGTGCAGTGGGATGGAAACTTCTCCTCAAGTGATGGTCTCACACCAAGTTCTCCCACCTGAAGACACGGGCTGTGAACTCAGAAAGATGCCCAGCGCGGCCTGAGAACCCAGCCTTGGAAAAAGAACTCAACGACAGTAACATACAATTGGAAGTCAAGTGGGCTTTGACTGGGTGTATCGTTCTATAGGTTCAAATTGTGAGCATAAGAAGGGCGCGAGGTTCTTCACTGAAGAATTCTGCAAACTTTTCTGAAGTAGAGCAAATGACACCGGGAGCTAGCTAGCAGTTCTCACAGAAAACTCACTCCTGGGGGACTACCTGTAAAGCCCAGAAGTTTTTTTCTTCAAATGACCAAAGGCTCAACAGATATCTCTCATCCCTCTTCCCTCCCCACAGCTGCACTCCTCAGCAGCCCGTGCCCAGCCGCTCCTGCCTTCGCCGGGGACCCCTGGAAGGCCTCGAGCTCAAGAGAGCCGCAGGACCCTCTGGAACCCCCGCTCCTCTCCCTGCCAGCACCATTATTCCACACAGCCCTGCACTCCCCGGAGCCCACTGCCTGCAGCTCCTTCGAGGCAGGCGCGAGCAAAGCAGGCATGGCGGGAAGGCAAGCTGTGCCCGCCGCATGTTTCAGAATCTCCCTCCATAAGCGTTTGCCAAAGGAACAAAAAGGAAATCACTGCCAGGAAAGGACAACTGAGATGAGGATGCGGTGGGACCGCGGCGGACTCCTCGCCGGGCGCCGCTCAGGGGGCTGGCCGACCACGCGCCCGAGCCACAGCTCCGAGTCGTTACCTTCAGGATGCAGGCCATGGCGCTCCGCCGGCCCTCCTGCCGCCGAGCAGCGGGCGCGCCTGGTCAGGGCCAGTCCCGGCAGCAGGCTGGAGGCTGGCACCGCGGCGCGGCCGCTCCAGCCCACATTCCCGCAGACCCAAATAAGGGGAGCGGGGCGCGAGCGGCGCGGCCAGGCCCCGCCCCCGGCGCGGCCACTGGCTGGCGGCCCGCGCGGCCCCGCCCCCGGGTCACGTGCCGGGCGGCCCGCGGAGCCGCCGGCCTGCTGCGCGCGCTCCTTTCTTCTGCAAGTGTGCCCCGGTTCAACGCCGGCGAGGTCCGCCGCGCAGCGGGCAGGGAACCCGGGTCTGCCGGGGAGAGAAAGCGGCCTTTTCTGCTGCTGCCGTCGGTCTCCCCACAGACATCAGAGAGCTCCTGGCAGACATTTCACACTTTTCAAAAAGTTAAATGGGCTTGGCATCGCCCCTCTGCAGGCTCTGGGCACATCAAAGCGTTGTTCAGATGTAGCCAGAGTTTCCCCGTGATGTTAAAAGATGAAGCCATCACTGCTGCAGTATTTCATGATGGGCTTATCTAAAATGAATAGTTTACTGTTCAAAAGAAACACGAATATCTATCAGGGAAAACATGAACCTTACGCCGTATCAGATCTTGGGTGTGCGGGACATTGCACATTCTTCTACAAGCTTTTTCATGGAAGATGATTGTGTGTAAACACACGCACATACAACCATATTACCAACGGGCTCCACATATATATATGAAGCTAAATGTATACTGTGTGTGTAAATACATGTCTAGGATTTTGTTTTGTCCTTTAGAATATGGAGGAACTTGTTAAAACTTTGTTAAACCAAAGAGCTAAACTTTCCTGTGAAGTTCAGAAATCGACAGTTCCTCTTCGAACCACCCAATGTGAAGTCCCTGAGAGGGGTGGCGTACAGGAAGGAAAACATCACAGCCTCTCCACTGAAGAGGCCTGTGAGAAAGACGCTTGGGGTCATATCTACCCCTTTTCTATAGAGGCCCTCTTCCAGTGATGCAGACAACCCCATTCCCAAGCAAAAGTCAGCTAAGGAGAGCTCAGTCCTACAAAGAAGAGAACGTAGCATCAACGCCAAGTAGAAGAGGGAAGACAGCATTTTGAATATATACTATATATATGTATATATACTATATATATATATAAATATACATGTATATATACACAGATTTGCACCACTTGGTGCTTCAGAGAAATTTAAACCAGCCTCAAAAGATTTACCCAGAAGATATTTCATTTGCTGGAAGCCCTGGCTGGTTGGCCTACATAGTCAAGAAAAGCTCAGCAGGCTGGTGATAGCTGTGGCATCATAAGATTGGTTCACAAACCACAAGTCAAAAACAAGGTTTTCAAGGAATTTGGCATTTTCTGAACAAGAACATTCAAGATCCTGAGGGAACCAGACAAGCCACAGAAAGCTTTGAAGGCTGGGGCTGCTGTGTTAGGCCGCTTGCTGCTAAGAGAGCTGCTCTTTCTAGATTCCCAGGGACTCCAAGCCCAGATTCCCCACAGCTTCCTCCAGCCCTGCTCTCTCCGCGTCAGACATCAAGTATTCTTTCAGCAAGGACTCCTTAACTGTACCGTAAGTTGTTATTTTAGTTCATTGTCTTCAGCGGACAAGGAAAGGTCCATTATTGCATTCAGCCACTCCTTTATTAATGCAATAAGCTTTTTAATGATGTGTTTATTTTTATTGGAAAGGCAGATTTACAGAGAGAGAAGAGACAAAGATCTCTCATTTGCTGGTTCACTCCATAAATGGCCACCTTGGCCTGAGTTAAGCTAATCTGAAGTCAGGAGCCAGGAGCTTCTTATGGTCTCCCACATGGATGCAGGGCCCCACGGTTTTGGCCCATCCTCTACTGTTTCCCAGACCACAAGCAGGGAGCTGGATGGGAAATAGAGCAACTGGGGCATGAATTGGTGCCTGGACATGAATTGCTACCATGAAGTGCCCTACTGAGCACTTCCTTGCCAGTGGACCTGGAATAAGCTTCATAACCTTTATTTTTCATCCTTACCAGAAATAATAGTGTTTGTAAACACACTCCTCACCTTAATATATGCCAACTCTGCAGAAGCACATTTGAAGAAGAAAGACTTCCTCCAAACATAACTTTTGGAAGAATATAAATAGGATGATTGTTGTGATCTTGAAGTGTCTCAGAAGGATGAACTTCACTAATGGGATAAACATTTAGCATCTTGTGACTTGGGTGCACCAAGCTGGGGCCTTTCCACCTCCCTCAGTCCATGGGTTTGGAGCCTTCCCAGTGAACTCCCACTCATGCCCGCACTTTTCAAAATGTCATTTTGAATAAAAAAATTAACATCCACAAATTATGCCTAAATAAGGCTAGGAATAAAGGGACATTTATAAAACAGCCTAAAAATATACTCAATATGTTCTAGAATAAATTTGGACCAGAAATACACAAAACAGTATTAAAAGCCACTTCTCTGAGGATCCACTCGTGCTTGTTTGAAAGCAATCCAACTTTTGGATGAAAAGAAAACCAAGCTCTGAACCTATCAGAGAATGAAGGTACAGCCAAATTTTGGGGAGGAAGAAGAGAGGGAGCTGGGGACTAGGATATTTTTGTGTTAAGACTGGCCAAACAACAGGAATAGCTCCATCTAACCTATAGTGTAATTTTCTGCCTCTCAAGTTATGTGACTTAAAGCCAAAAGATTCTGTGTTTCCAGAAACAACAACAAATGGAGGCATCTTACAAATAAGCACAATATCCCAACTGATGCTCACAACATTCACGCAGATGGCAGCATGCTCTGGTGGGGATGCAACTGGAGGAGTAGGGGTTTGAACCGAGGGACCTCTGGATCTACCTCTTTCTCAGTTGACTTGTCTGTTACAAGCCCAAATTCTTTCATCATAATTCCAATTTAGTTTGTTGTCTTAGATTTGCTCATAAAAACAAATGGATACATAGAGTGAGTACCAAATAAATGCAGAACCTTTCAAGTGTACCCAGAGATAATCTGCAGTTTTCAATCCCCTGGCCTTTGGGCTATAACTGTCAAAAAAAATTATTGTGTATCTTATGCAAGTCTCCCAAACAATCAATCTGTTACCATATTCTGGTCATGAGAATAATCTCACATCAAAGACTCACCATTGAATTTCACCTAATGCATCAGGCTGGCTGTAGCAAAGCCAGTAGGCCTTAGCTTGGCTGCAGTGAGACCCCAGGGCACAGGCCTTACCATTAGTTCAGCTCTCTAAAGCTCTTCTTGGCTCCAGTTGGTCCATCATCATTTTCCTCAGAGATTTCACCAGGAAAAACCTCATGCTTAAAATTGAGACTTCATAAGGTATGACAAGTCATGGGGTAAATTTCCAATTTAAATTCAGTTTTGCTTCATTGTAAACAACCCATTACCAAGTAATTCATAGAGTTATAACACACAATTCCATGATAGAAATAGAACTAGAATGAAGATTCACATAACTTTTCCAATTTCATTTTGCACACATTAATTTAATATATTTATATTCAACACACAGTCATTTATTAAGGTTTTAATTTGATCTCAATTTTTCCCATCTGAGGTTTTAAATGAATTCAAGATATCATAAACCACTTCTTGTCATCCACTGTATAAATTATGCTTCCATAGGAGACTATGACTGGAAGACCCATTAGAAAATGTTATGGGAAAGTCATTTATTTACATTGTGAGCCAGAACAGATTTTTTTTTTCTAGAAACCATAGCACCGTCAGAATTAGGCCCAGGAAATTTTTCATATCCAAAAGTATATGTCTGCCCATGTCTATGTGTGTGTGTTTATCTGTATTGGTACCTAAGTGTATGTGCTACTGTGCTTTTGGGAGAATGTCTCTGAATATGCTGATACATGGGGCTAATCTCCACTTCCCTCCTTTTGGACAATAGTCATCCCAAAATCTCATCCAATTCATATTCCCAAGGCCTGAGATTTCTGCTATTTTAAACCTTTACACAGTCTAATCCAGAATTTGTCATTATCCTTGATACTTATCTGGGATGAGCTCCAAGACAAATTATGCAGAATGTAAAATTGCATTTTAAAAATATTATGTTTTCTCTTATAACATTCTGCCTTAACTTCAATTCAATTCTACCTTTTATATTGGAAGTTCATAGCTTCTGTCTTCCAATTTTTAAAAATGAACCATTCAAAGAAAAAAAAAAAGAATTATGCCTTCTACTGAGAGAAAAAAACTGAAATTAATGTTTAATTTTCATACTTAAAAGAATTTTAATCAGATTTTGCCTTCAGAATTTCCCCTGAAATTTTAAATGTAAAAATGTGAAAGTAAATATGGCTGGAAGAACTGGCATGTAGTTGGAATTTGGTTTGTATTGGATTTCTCCAAGCTTATTGAAGGCTCCATTATTAATTGAGTCTGATATTTCTTAACCACATTTCCCAGAGTTTGTTTTCTTTTTATTGTGAGGTTCTTCCCATGTGTGTTTCCACACACTCGTCTTACAATTCTCTGAGCAAGGCTAAGTTACACTGCTGCCCTAAAATATTAGAGTAGAAATTTGGTATTTGCAAAGCATCAGTGGTGGCCCTGATGGGAACAGCTGCACACAGGAGTCAGGACTCTTACTAACTGAGCCAGTCTAATCTCTAATGATCTGGCCCTCACAGGCACTCCAGAGAGAACTGGATTTGGGTTCATTTTAAGGTTAATACCGGACCTTTCCAGTACTCTCCTCCAACCCTCAATTTCCCTGTCTGTGTCTGAGGTGTAGGAAAGGCAGGAGGACAACGTCATGCAAGCAAAGAAATCTTCAAGTAGGATACCTAAATATACTTAAAGAAATCCCAAACATATCCTGTAAATAACAAATGTGTGAGGTGGCTCACAGTAAACTCTAATAAGCAGAGGAAACTGAAAATTCTGGTTCATTTCTCAATTTAACATTTGCATGTTTGGTTCATGTGCTTAAGAAGCAGGGAATTGATGAATTGGCTTCCTCTTATATTCTCATTTTTCAGTAATTTGTCTTTACTTCCAAAGCTTGGTCTATTTATGCTCCTTTCAGTATTGGTGTCCACCATTAATGTCCACTATTCTTGAACTC